GCAGCCATAAAAAAGGATGAGTTTATGTCCTTTGTAGGGACATGGATGCAGCTGGAAACCATCATTCTGAGCAAACTATTGCAAGAACAGAAAACCAAACACTGCATGTTCTCACTCATAGATGGAAACTGAACAATGAGATCACTTGGACTCGGGAAGGGGAATATCATACACCGGGGCCTATCACGGGGAGGGGGGCGGGGGGGAGGGATTGCATTGGGCGTCATACCTGATGTAAATGACGAGTTGATGGGTGCTGACGAGTTGATGGGTGCAGCACACCAACATGGCACAAGTATACATATGTAACAAACCTGCACGTTATGCACATGTACCCTAGAACTTAAAGTATTTAAAAAAAAAAAAAAGATTAAAAAAAGAAAAGGAATATCATCAGGAAGACAACTGACGCTGTTAATCACCCAGTCATCACACCATCACCAGTTATGAAGGCTTACTGTGATACCAGGATTGCTCTGTGTACTGTTGGGACCAAGAGAAAAGTAGAAGACATAATTCCTACCCCAGATGAACTCATACACTAGCTGAGGAAGGTAAGATAAGAACACAATTAGAAAACATATGAGACAATCCTTTATGTATGGAAATCAAAAATCAAGTACAAGATGATTGTGGCTGCCTATCATTAGTAATACGTAGTCATGTGATACGTTGTCATTACGTAGTTTGACTATGTAGTCTATACTAATACGTAGTCATTAGTTTTTCAACATGTGACAGAGAAGGTAAACCTAAAATCAGACATAGAAGGTATATCATGGCATGAGTGTCCCAAGTAGGAGAAAGTAAAGTATCACAGTGAAAGCCTGAGTAAAGGGATAGAGGCAGGGGTGTGTGCATCAGAGATAAGACACGTTCAGGCCGGGTGTGGTGGCTCATGACTGTAATCTCAGCACTTTGGGAGGCCGAGGTGGGCAGATCAAGAGGTCAGGAGATCGAAACCATCCTGGCCAACATGGTGAAATTCCATCTCTACTAAAAATACAAAAATTAGCTGGGCGTGGTGGTGCATGCCTGTAATCCCAGCTACTCGAGAGGCTGAGGCAGGAAAATCGCTTGAACCAGGGAGTCGGAGGTTGTAGTGAGCTGAGATCGTGCCACTGCACTCCAGCCTGGTGACAGAGTGAGACTGTCTGAAAAAAACCAAAACCAAAACAAACAAATAAGATGTACTCAGGTGGGACAGAGACTTGCATCAAGGTTAACTGGTTGACCAAACTGTACAGGTTATGTGGGACCAGACAATAAAGGACATTGATGTAAATAAGCTACCTGGATGTGAGAGACAAGAGGGAGACAGTAAAATATATTAGTGAGTGACATAGTCCAGTGTTGAAATATTTAGTCTCCTGATAGTTTTCATAGGCAACTCTTTAAGTTGGTTTAACTGTAAAGACATTTACTTTATAAAATTATATCATCTTTGGAACAGTGGAAAAAATGACACTGCAGCAAATGAGGTTAATATTTTTGGTAGGAAAAAAACATATTTAAACCAAGTACTCCAGACTGTTGCTTTATATCATGATTTAAACACTTTTGATGTCCATTAAATCCAGAAGGAAGACTGTGAAATTAAGATCTTTTAATCTGGGAAGATGACTGAGGCTGCAAATTCATAAATGAAATCAATTTTATCTTTATAAAGTACTTTTTACATGTATTAGTTCATTTGTCCTTCATAATCACCTTTTGTGTGGTAAGCAGAGTGGATATTTTTATTTCAATTTCAATTTTTCAGATGAAAAATTAAGATGCCAATGTTAAGTAGCTGTCAACCCACACAGCAACCAGAACCAAAAATCTGAATTATTGTTATCCACGACAGATGAAATTTTTTTTACAAAGTTCAGAATATCAGGAGGTGGGTACATGTTAAAATTGGGAAAAAAACCTGTTTACTTAAAGTACCATGTTTCCTAGATATGGCAATATAATAAGAATAATCAAATGATTATCAAAAGATCCTGAATATTAGTTCTTTAATTATGACTAATATGTAATAGGTAGATAAATTCTCCTGTCTCACTGGGTAAGGTTTTCAATTAGTAAAGAGAAAAGGGCAGAATTAAAGATCCCCAAATCCTTCTACTTTGAGAATTCTGTGATCTGCGTGTGCATCACTCATTATTAAGAGCTGGCTGAAGCTGAAAACACCAGTTCTGGCTCTATCACATGACAGGAAGGAAGGCAGCCACGGATATATGATTAGTGAGTGAATGTCAGGACGGCTGAATGAATAGAAATGTTAGAACAAGGTACCATTCCTCAGATTCACAGATGTATGAGTCTGTAATGTCCTAATTGGAGGGCAGATAGTAATTTCTATCTGATTCTCAAAATTATTGGTTGAAAAGAGTTAATAACTATTATTTAGATTAAAAAATAAATCACGGTTGTTAGAGAAACCTGGGCAACCAGCTCTGGCCATCTGACACTACTGTCATAAGAGTAACTGTTTTTTCCATAGATTAATCCCCAATACTCTTTTCCAAGATAGAAAGCTACATTGAATGTGCACCATTCTGATCCAGCATGGTCTTTGCCATCTTTCTTTTGCATAGAAGAGAGATTAGTCCTGAAGGATTTTTTTTTCCTTTGAAATGAAAAATGAGAAATTTTGAGATACTGTCTTTCTAAATGAGAAATACTGGCAAAGTGTAGTAGTTTCCACATTCCCATTTGATGGTGGGAAGTGGAACTGTGCCAACATTTAACTCCCTAGAATATGAATCATGCCATTTCACACACTGCTTCCTCCCAACCAAGTGGCACTATTCCCTTTGGGTTGTCCGGTGAAAAGAGCATATGTGTGCATTATGCACTGAACTGTGTCCCCTAAAATTTATAGGTTAAGGTCCTAACTCCTAGTACCTCAGAATGTGACTGCATTTGGAGAAAGGGTCTTTAAAGATGTAATTAAGTTAAAATGAGGTCATTAGAGTGTGTCTTAATTTGATATGACTGGTGTCCTTAGAGGAAAAGGAGATGAGCATGCAGCAGACAAGGAAAAATCTTGTGAAGACACAGGGAGAAAACGACCATCTGCAGACCAGAAAGAGTGGCTTCCATAAAGACTCAACCTGGCCAGCACCTGGGATCTCACACTCTTAGTGTCTAGAACTGTTAGGAAATACATTTATCTTGTTGAAGCCATTCAGTCTATCATTCTTTCTTATGGCAGACCCAGAAAACCAAAACAGTATGTCAGAGCCATGGACAATAGAAGGCAACTGAACCTCTTTCCCAGTTCTTCCTTAAAAGGCAGTTCAAGATGTATACCTCTACCATATTCTATAGGACTGAATGGAGTTCCGAAGTATTCTATGAATTTAGCAATTTTCCTGGGATGTAAAAGTTAAGTTACAGGCTTTGTAGTTAAAACACCTTTGTCCAACTATTTTGCTGAATTTACTATGAAAAAGTATCTTTTGAGGATTTAAATTATTAAAGAGCCAACTTAATGGTGGATTAAGGCTAATGATAATATTTTACCCTAGGAGAACTTAAAATGTGCATTAAAATGAAATGTACTAAAAATATTGGACAGGGATACTGTAAATCCCATATTCATTATGGTAGTTGAGACTCGTGCTTCAGTGAGTTTCTTAAGAGCCCTCAAGCACACAATGGCTGATTATTTAGAAAGACTTTATTAAGATATTTGTGAATACTGAAAGATAAAATATTTTTCTAATCAAAAAAATAGAGAGAGGAGGATAGGGAAAGTTTCATTAATTGATATAAAATTACATATAGGTAGGGGGAATAAGTTCTAGTGTTCTATAGCACTGTAGGGTGAATATAGTAAACAATAATTTATCTCACAGGTTCAAAAGATAGAAGAGAGGATTCTGAATGTTTCCAACATAAAGAAGTAATAAATATTTCAGAACAACAGTTCTAGTTTACTTTTCTTTTTTTGAGACAGAGTCTGGCTCTGTCACCCAGACTGGAGTGGAGTGGTGCGATCTCGGCTCACTACAAACTTTGCCTCCTGGGTTCAAGAGATTCTCCTGCCTCAGCCTCCCAAGTAGCTGAGATTACAAGTGCCCGTCACCATGTCTGGCTAATTTTTGTATTTTTAGTAGAGAGGGGGTTTCACCATGTTGGTCAGGCTGGTCTCGAACTCCTAACCTCAGGTGATCCACCCCCCTCACTCGGCTTCCCAAGGATTACAGGCATGAGCCACTGCGCCCAGCCCAGTTCTAGTTTTCTTATTTCATCTTTGCATACTTTAACCCCCTACCAGAACAATGAGTAATTCCTAATGTTTCAGAAATGTCAGCCCACAGTAGGTCTTTCTAGAACTGACTACTTCACAAATGCACTGTCATTTTCAAAAGGGTCAAACTAATGGCAAATGAGTTATGCTGGGAGTTGTGAGTGTGCTTTATGTAACAGTGACTACCTAATTAAATGACAGATATTAAAGTGTCCTGTAGCATAAATTATTTAAAACACCATATATATATACACACGCACACATAACCACTATGCAAATAAAGCGAATATTAAAAGACTATCTTGTTCACTGCCATTCAAATCACTCTTCAGTTGGATTACAAAGATTGTAGAGCAGATTATTATGAGCTAATAAATTATTCTAATTTATAACAATAAATAGAAGATTTTTTATTTTGAAAAAAGAAATACTGTGAGACATTATGAAACAAGAAGGAAGTAGGACTTAGCTATATTGTTTCCCTAGCATCTTGACAAAGAATACTATAAATTTGACAGTCTTTGTAAATTGAAGCAAAATTTTAAGATGAAAGATACACATTCTTTTTTGTTCTATCGTTTGTTAAGAGTTCAATGATTTGTAAAATAATTCATTTTCAACAACAAACATAAATATTTCCACTGGGAAAGTAATTTGAAAGCACTTATTAAAAAATTCACTTAAAAATCAGACATTTTCCATTAACATATTTCATTCAATTATTATATTTTAATGAGAAAAAATATAAACTTACGTGTCATAGACATTAAGCAACCAATTGAGACACATATCCACACAGAGTGGAACATTGACCAGGTCCTTATGCATTTGCTCAAGTCCATCATAAGTTGTTGTCAGACAGTTGATGACATCTGGAACACTGAGGAGCTGGTCATTTTGGTTCAGCTTGTGCTGTTTGAAAATTTCATTTGTTGTACTCAACTCTAAGAGATCCACTAACCAGGGGAGAAGAAGGAATGTGTACAGTCATTACATTACATAACAACATAAAAACAAAGGCATTTCTAGTCTCAAGTATTTAGTTTGATTCTTCAATTTAAGAATCCACCCTTTTTAGCTAAATTTCAGCTTTTAAAGAAACAAACACATTTCTATTCTTACATTTTACCACACTTTCATACTTTTGAATCTGGACTCTGTCGCTTCCCATTTTTTGCTCTTTGGAATATTAATTTTTCCTACTTTCTTTTTCTGGTTTTCCCTTTGCCAGGCTCTTTTTGCTTTTAAATGTAGCAAGGCATAAATCTCTCAATCTACTTCAAATGGCAACACATCTCAAATATTACACTGCTCTCCTCATCTTAACTCCTGCAAACAGCCTGTGCACTGCTCTCTTCATTCTTTGTATCACAGCCAAACTAATTGTTCTTAAGCAGTTTTTTATCATGTACATCATTACACACAAAGTTTACTGAAAAACAGGTTTTGTAGAAAAATAACAGCTCTCCACTGCCTGCTGAATCAAGCCCGATCTATAAGATTGTCACAATCTGGCCATAATCTGGTTTACTTCCGATGATGTTCTGACACAGAGGTGACCTGTAGCTAAGAGGAAGTACTAGGGCTTCCCAGGACAGTCCCCACATCCATTAGTCTTCATAAATTTGTTCCCATTCTTACTCTTCATGTGCACCATATCTATGGTAGGCATGGCTGGTGATAGAGCCAGGAGGGTGTGCACAGGAGGCAAAGGCAGAGCCCCTGCTCTCAAAGACATACTGATGGCTTTACTAAAAGGAGGAGTAAACATGCCCTATGAGAAGAATATGCAAATTTCTGCTAGAGCTACTACTTCTAGGAGAGGAAGGACAACTGGAAAAGGCTCCTTGGAGAGGTGCAATTTGAAATGGGCCTTGAAAAATGGATAAAATACAAGAGATCCACATGAAGTAAGAAAAGAATTCCAGGTTTAGAGAAGTGCTTGAGAAAAGGCAAGAATTCAATCAAGCCCAGAGGCTCTAAGGAATGGTGGACTGCGGTGTGGGTGATGTGTGGCTTACTCATGAGTGCTGTTTGCCTACAGTGAAACAGGAGAAATGCATGGGCCAGGCACACACTGCCCAAGGGGAGGCCTGCAAAGGCCTGAAGGAGGAGTTTAGATGAAAATGACAAAATCTTTTTTTATTTAATCAATTTTGAGTCATTCATTCACTAACTGAAAACAGACAGACAAAGCAGATTACCAAACTACCATGTATCTATACATTTATTGATTGTAGAGATGACTCTTCCAAATCTAAACATCTGAGTAAGGAAAATCAGAGCCCACATTAACTCAAGGTCTGCTCATAGAAATCAGTTTTTATAAAATTCTTTCTCTGTCTCTGTATTTAAGCTTTTGGCATAAGAAAATTAGACTAGAAGAACTCTAATCTTATTTTTTCTTATTTTTTAACTTTTTAGCATTAAAAAATAAGAAGCAAAGAGAAAATATTTGGTTATACACATATATGTTATATATTTAACTTTTTAGCATTAAAAATAAGAGGCAAAGAGAAAAAATAAGGTTATATACATATAAAACCAACTTCTCTTCGTCTGATGCAAAAACTGTTCTCTCAAAAAAAATGACATATTCTGACAGTTAACTAAAATGAACAAATAGCTTCTTTTGTATTTACCCATTTGTAACCATTCAATAACTACTAATTTTGAATTTTTAAAGACATATATGAAATGTGTCCATGCTAGCTCTCTGACTAACATAGAATTATTTATTTTTTCAAGTTATCTACAAATTAAAAGAACTGCTTTAAACCCGTACAGATTAAATGATTTCAAAAACAACAGGGAAGACTTTTTTTTTCTTTTTCTTTTTCTTTTTTTTTAAAAAAAAGATAAACATAAAACATACAAGTCTGGATAACGAAACAATTCATTTCCTTCAGATGTCAAATGTATCATTGGTAAACTTAAGCTAATAGCAAAAAAATAAGTCAAATAATCCTCATATGAGTTAGAGATGGTGTCAGAAAAAAACTAAGAACTATTTGGAATTTTCACTGTCATTCTTACCTCGTTTCTTTGCCCTGTACACTTGACTCTCGAACAGCGCCAGTTTGAACTGTGAGGGTCCACCTACACGTGGAGTTTTTCCAATTAAAGTTAACCACTGAGGGTGCCTGCCTCTCCTGCCTCCTCTGCCACCTCCTCTACCCTTTCTGCCTCTGTTACCCCTGAGACAGCAATACCAACCTCTTCTTCCTCCTCCTCAGCTTATTCAACATGAAGTCGACAAAGATGAAGACCCTTTATGATGAGCACTTTCCACTTAGTGAATATTAAATATATTTTCTTTTATTATTTTCTTGATATTTTCTTTTCTCTAGCTTACTTTGTTGTAGAGTAAGAGTATACAATACATAGCATATCAAGTATGTTTTGACTGTTAATGTTAAGTTTTGGGTGTCAAGGGTCAACTGTACAGTTTTCAATAAACCTCTAGAGGGCAGAAGCAAAGTGCCTGACAAAGGAAAGTGTTTAATAAAGGGCAGTAGCTAGGGAACTACAGCTCCCCACAGACACCAAGGAACATATTCAAATATGGCCAAAAGGCTCAAAGTTTTCTGAATTCCAACATCAATTATGCCAGTAACACAGCACTGCTATTGGATCGCCACATGGCATCAGGTGACAACAGACCAAATTCCAAAAAGTCCATTTCCTGCATCAGGCTGTTCCTGTATTTCTTTCTGAAGTCTCCCTGGTGATACACTCTGTAGCTGTGACACTGATTTGCCACATCCCACAGACTGTCATGTCTTCAATTTTTAGTGATTTACTCTGACACTTTGTCTTAGTGCCTAAGTCAAGCATAAATCTTCCTGAAGTGTGTCACATTTACGTACCTTTAAAGAACTGACTGCATTTAAATCATAGAAAATTATGATTAAGATTTTCTCGTTTAAAAGGGAGACAAATGACAGCTCAGTCATGTGGTAAATGAAACAAACAGCAGAATCATTTTCTATCCAACTTTCTGACTGTTTCTTTAACCCCACATATAAGGCACAGTGGATGGAATAGAAATGCATCATCATTCTCCCGCTCTGCAAAACAATGAACACTGTTTAGCACCCAATCTTGGGCTTCTCTGACACTTCTCCAGGTGTCAAGCTATGTAGCCATTCTTTATTTTTTTAATTATTTTGTTATTATTATTTTAGCATTTCTCCTATCTCCTCTTCCCCAGAAATATAGGCAGAGCTCAAGGTTTCACATCTGGCCTTTCACTCTGTGAGCCTGAGGCCCTCACTCACTCCCCTTACTTCTGTTATTGCTTCTCTTTGGATGGTTCCAGATTCTCTTTTCTCCTGTTGATCTCCTGCCTCAACACTTGACTTGCGTACCATTGCTCTGATCCCTACAAGAGCTACATAATTCTCTTTCAGGAACCTCTACCCATAAAGGCCTAGCCTTCTTGTCATGATGAAATCCAATCTGCAAACCATGAAATATCCTAACATCCTTCCTCCTTCTACCCTCCACAATTTACCAACTACGCAGTTCCCCCAGTCATCAGTTCTCCCTCAGGCAGCCTTAAAAATCCAGACCCTCATCTCCCTTCCTACAACTCCCAGTCAGCTCAGCCTGGATCATCCTTTGCCTGAACTATTTACCCATTCTCTGTTCTCTGCCCTTTGGTCTTGCTTAGCTATTCCCTAAAGCATACTTCCACCTCTGGCCCTATCTGTAAACTCCCACAATAAAGAAAATGCCTCATGGCTTCCCATTCTACAATGAAAAATATCCAAACATGAAATACAACACAATAAGAACTTGAGGAACAAAATAGAAAGGAATTTCAGGAAAGAAATGACCTTCAAATTGACCTAAACTAACTTTAAGGAAATTTCTGGATATTGGACAAATAGCTAAGCTATTCCATTCAGACTCTATAAGTTGATGTTCCCTGAACACCATCCACACCTTAATTCTCACACAGATAACTCCTTCCCTTCTTATCCCCAATTAACTGCCTCATGCCTAAATCTCAGGTGCCTTTTATAGCCTGGCTTATATGCCCACTAATCAAGGAAACCTGCCTTCTTCATAATGAGGGGACTCTCTTCCTCCTCAGAATATACTTCTCTTTTGCTTCTCTGCTATTACCTATCACATAAAGTTTCAAAATCAAAATACAAAGGAATACAGAAAATACATACATGTAGTCTAAAAGAAAATAATAGAACAAATACCCATTAGTCCATCACACAGCTAAAAAAAATTAGAATGTTACCACTATCTTGGAAGCCCTTTGGAAATCCTGCCTAATTACATCCTCTTACAATTACGGGGCTAACCACTAACCTTTGTATTTCATTTTCAGTTTTTAAAAGTGTCTATGTGTCCCTAAATAATAAAGCAGTTAGCTTTGCATAGGTTTGAACTACATGTAAATGGAACAAAGTGGTAGAAATTTTTTCTGCTATTTAATTTTTTCACTTAATTTTATAGTTCTAAGATTAAATAATGTTGATGCTGATTACTAGCTCATTGATTTCTGTTGCTGTATTATATTTATAAATATGCCAAATCTGAATAAGTTTACTATTAAAAAGTGCTGCTATAAATCTCCTTGGACACGTCTTCTGGTGTACTGCTATACAACCTTCAAACTCAAATCATTCACTCAGTGTGTCCTAAGCAACCCCTGCTCTGTGCCAGAAATTGTCTGAGATCCTAAGTAGAGAAGAACACAGACTTATCCCTCCCATGATGGACAAGCAAACAATAACTAATAAACAGAATATTAAAAATTATGACTGACACTTTGCCTTAGTGCCTAAATGAAGCTCCAGAAGTGTCATCTAAGGAAAAGAACAGTTCTATGAGGAGCCATAGAAAACCTCATTAAAAGAGAGGTGATCTACAACATTGAGACCTACAGGGATGAGTGTACCAGCCAAGGGAAGAACAGAAGTATTAAGTTGGTCCAAAAGTAATTGAGGTTTTCGCCATTACTTTTAATGAAATACCCTAACTTACTTTTAATGACAAAAACTGCAATTATTTTTGCACCAACCTATACAAAGAGCTAGGACAAGTGCTTTTTAGGCAGGAGGAATGGAATACAGTTTGCCATTTCTATCACTAAGTGGATGATGAAATGGTGATACCCCGGTGGAGCAGAGGGAAGGAGGTGGACAGAGAGGTGAGCCAGGCAAAGACCATTCTGTTCTGAGGGCACCAGGAATCTTTTGTAAGCAGGGCATTGGGTCCCTGTGCAATGTTCTCCAAATATGAGTTCCTTGATTGTGAGAATCAAGTCCCTTTATAATGTTTTATTTCCTGCACAATCTTGGGGCCCAACAAATGAATGAACAATGACACTGCCCTCTGCCTTATGCTGGGTGGGGATTTGCACATAATGAGAGACAGCCATGACTGAAAGTAGTTCACAGTGGAGACAGGGCAATCCACCTAACATTATTCCAGCACACAAAGGCAAGCACTTGTCACTAAGGTGAGAGAACCTGCTATTACAGGCAATCATAAACTACTGGGAAAACCATGGAGACAGGTAGGATTAGCTTGTAAATGTTTCCAAAAGAGGTAAATCTTTAACAGTATTTGGGAGAAATAAAGGGTTACAGGCCATTGCAGAGAAAGGGTCAGGGTATTTCTAGTAAACGGAAAGGAAGGGAGAGGAAGAAGCAGATTAATAATAAACTGGTGAGCTCCAGGAGTGGCCCACAGGCCTTGGCTGGAGGGCAGTGGGAGAAGGCAGTGGGAAAAGTGAAGGCCAGTTGGCTCTGAAAAAAGCACCTCATATGCTTGAAATCCAATACAATCTAGCCCTTTTCTAACTGTCATTTGGTTGTCACTATCAATTTAGTTTAAAAGTTGGAGGAGTCCCTTCTATTCATCTCAGGTTTGAGGGGAAGAGCTGGGGAGGGGGGTTTTTTCTTTAGGAACCCAAAGAACCAAGAGAAGAAAACACCAAATGTGTTAATATGTTTATCCACCCAGAAGTGTTGTTGAAAACTGGGACCATGTTCATAACGACACAAAGCAGTCTTCTGTCAATGGAAATTTTGTGGCTGAGTCTTCTGTCCTTATTTTACTGCTCATCAGGCCTGAGAAGAACTTCCAGACCCATCAGCTGGATCCTGGAGGTGCAGCTGAGCCTCTTTCAAAACTGCTGTCACCACGGACTCCTGCGCAGACCAAACATCCCTTTTGTGTGTTCATAATTTACTTCCTATTCCCTTTTCGCTCAACATACTGATCAGTAGCCAGAGGGTGGTGGCTTTCTTTTATTTGTCCTGGTAATTCTGCAACACTTGCTGCAACTACTACAACCTGCTAATTATCTTTGAGGTTCTGTGGATTATGCAAGAGTCAAGGTCATCTCATTCTTCCTTGCATAGACTTATCTGGAGGTGTCTTTCAGCCCTGTAGACCTCTCTTCCATATATAGCTTAAGCTTTTCTTATTTTCAAGCTTTGCATTGCTGTTTTCTCTGAATGACATTATACCTCTCTTTCCTCAACTCTCTTCATGTAGCCAGCTTAAAATTTATTGCTAATTTCTGTTGACTTTCAAGGAGCAGATTTTTCAACCCTAACATATCATTTTTCAAAGCATAATTTTCAAAGCATCACTGAACTGCCTAGACATATATTAACGGTTAACAAAAGGTAGCAAACAAGAATACTTGGAACTTTTCAATTTACCCTATCTTAAAAGAATAGGTAAATATCACTTTCCATATCAACTATCTGACAAGGCCTAGGGTAGACTCAATCATTAGAACTACAACCACAAATAGAATCCAGGTAGCATAAATCTATATGCTAAGTATTCACATTGCTACTTAATTTTAGGTTATTTTGGGGGGAAAATATCCTTTTGATGAAAGGACTGTCACAGAATTCCACTCTGAACACATCCTCCACAGGAAAAATGCATTGATAATACTAAATGTCTCAAGATATATTTAAAAGAAAACAGAGCCTTTTATCTAACTTGTTAAGGTGCCAGTTCAAATTTAGATCAGGAATGTGATTTTTTAGTGTTTCTTTATATACATTTGTCTCATACAAATTGAGACAAAATGGAACTCTACACTTCCAAATGGGCAAAAGGTACTGAAAACACATGACTTAATACTTTCTTTGATTTAATCCTCTTAAACTGGGTGGCAGCACAATTTTTGAAAAAGCTTTTTACATTACTCCTGTGTTTTGGTTAATTTTGTTCTCCAAGTAAGAATGGCATGTGTTCAGTACTGCACACTGATGGGGCAAGTAATAAAATATTTATAGAAACAAAACCAACTCCTTGAGTGAGGAACACTGAAAACCAGATTAACTTGGCAAACACTCCATCCTCTTCATTTATCTTTCTCTTTTTTTTTTTTTTTTTTTTTTTTTTAAAGGCAATTCAAGTAACAGATAGATTAACTTTGGTAGAATAACTCACAACATAGCGCTTTTTGTAGTCTTCGGATTTTGATTGCTGTACGGTAGGCAGAAAAACGTACGTTATTCAGGTCAGCTGAAATAGAAAAAGGAACAATTCGAAGATAGGCTTATTATTGAATATATATTGAATGCCAAGAATGTATTTGGTTACTTTGGATGATGAAAAAATATTATGTCTGCCTGAAATAAAAAGTCTTCTCCCAAATTCCCCAACATGTATCCAAGAAAAAAATTAAATGATCATAAGGACCATGTTGAGATACATCTCAAAGCAGTGCTACACAGAAAATTCTAAGAAAGTATTTTCAAACAGGTGTTCAGGGCTCAGAACATGGTGGGTTGAGTACTTTGAAACGAAGGAGACTGAAAGGCCTCAGAAGTAAGGTCTCTCTGACCTCTGGGTCTCTTGTCTCCTGCCCCTCTTTCTCCTTCCAAAGTGATAAACAGAAATCAGAATTCCTCCTCCCCAAGGTGGGTCATAAAAACTAGAACTCCTCTTGCCCAAAGCAAGCCATAAAATCTAGCAAGTTCACTGTGACCTTCACCCTTCTCTCCTGAAGATTCTCCTGCGACAGATATCCTGTCCCTAGAGGAATATGTGGCAGGGAGAAGCCAAGAAGAATCTGAACAGATAGGCCTTGCTGGAATTCCCTTCTCAGTCTATTATCATTAAATTATACCCTTTCATCCAATCACAATTCAATGCAGTCATCCATTCCTCACTCAATCTAAGTGTAAAAATAGATACTTTTCCCTGTTGTCTTTGGACCTTCTGAAGGCTCTCATGTCAGGTAAAACTTTGATTAAGTAAATTTCTTGTGCTTTTCTGGTTGACCTGTCTTTTGTTATAGGAGTGTCACTATGACCCTTACGATGGGTGAGAAAATGTACCACCCCTTTCAGTTCATTGGTAGGAAAAAGAGGAAGGTAATGAAGAGAAAGCACAGCTTATTAAATGCACTGCACAGTAGGCAGAGGGCCCTTCCTTTTTTTCCCAATAAAGGAGATTTTCCTCCAGGGGCATCTCCCCCAAGGACACTTCATTTTCTTCCAGCCACACTGTCCAGCTCACTATCCATGAAGCTCATCTTAATTCTATGTTCCTCCCATCCTGATCGATTTGTTTTTCTGTACTTTTGCAGATCTCGTTAAAATGATCCTATAATCAATACTCAACTCTTTGGAAACAACAGATATTGCAATTTCTTTCTTCGTCCCCTAAAGACAGAGTATCAGAGATTAGTAGAGTTAAAAGAAAACTCAGATATCATCAAAATTTGCCCCTTGTTTTACAAGCTAAGCAAACCAGTGATATGTCTTTTGTTTGTCCAACTTTTGCAGGACCCTTCACCCACCAAAATAAAAACTCACACAGAAGCCCAATATTTGCAGAGATTAAAAAGGGGACATCCCTTTTATCGAAACAGGAGAGGGAGGCTTCAGGTGCTGCTCTTTTCTCCAGCATCTCCTTAGCTACCCAAAGAGAAAACTTTAAAAAAACCCACTGAACCAAACAGAGGAAGTAGGTTAAACAATAAGTTGAAAGCCACATTGCCCTAGAAATTAAAACAAAATCGGAATTCTCATCTGTGTTTTCTTGCATTTTTGTATAAAAATGAATTTAGCTTTTAACAATTTAGACAAATTTAAACTAGGTGAGCTAAGTTGATGACATGTACTAAATAAAAAGTGAGCCAAAAGCAAATTTAAGGCAGTGAATTGAAGTTGGCTATATTGTAACTGTATATTTATGTATATATTTTTGCGTGCAAAGCTGAAGGTTAAGATGACTCAATACGAAGGAGGTAAAACCTACAATTACATTCCTCCCTGTAAATCAAGTCCTTTTGGCTCACATGATTTCAAACCACACAATTCTCCTAAGAAATGCAATACTTGTTTATTGCATTGCCCTTAGAAGTTTAACTGCTTTTAAATGTCAATGACATGATTCTTTTAACATTAACATGCCATGTAAGAAAAGCTGGTGATTAGCTCCTATTTAAGAATATACAGTTCTCGGCCAGGCACAGTGGTTCATGCCTGTAATCCTAGCACTTTGGGAGGCCGAGGCGGGTGGACTGCCTGAACTCAGTTCGAGACCAGCATGGGCAACATGGTAAAATCGTGTCTCTACTAAAATACAAAAACTTAGCCAGGTGTGGCAGCAGGCGCCTCTGGTCCCAGCTACTCAGGAGGCTGAGAAAGGAGAATTGCTTGAATCCAGAAGGCAGAGGTTGCAGTGAGCCGAGATCACACCACTGCACTCCAGCCTGGGCAACAGAGTGAGACTCTGTCTCAAAAAAAAAAAAAAAAAAAAGAAAAAGAATACACAGTTCTCAGTTGTTTAGGTTAATTAATTACTATTAATAACACTTACCAAGGGATTGAAAGAGTTCGGTCATTTTAGGATGGTCCCAACAGGTGGTCTGCGTTTGATGGCTGGAAAGAAAAAGGTAAAATTGTAAAAATAAACAAAAGATCAAAAGACATCATATAGGCCAAAAAGGAAATACCCAAGTGGAAATGATTTTTTTTTTCAAATTTTTAAAAATACATGCAAAATTACCCTCATTATGAACCATTCAGAAACCCAATGCCCAATTATTACTTAATATTTGAAACATCGGCCAGGGACAGTGGCTTTTCTTGTAATCCCAGTACTTCGAGAGGCCAAGGCAGGTGGCTCACTTGAGGTCAGGAGTTTGAGACAAGCCTGGCCAACTTGATGAAACCCTGTCTCTACTAAAAATACAAAAATTAGCCAGGTGCGGTGGCGGTTGCCTGTAGTCCCAGCTACTCAGGAGGGCAAGGCATGAGAATCACTTGAACCTGGGAGGTGGAGGTTGCAGTGAGCCGAGATCCTTTCACTGCACTCTAGCCTGGGTGACAGAGTGAGATACTATCTCAAAAAAAAAAAAAAAATTAATAATAAATTTTAGCTAGGTGTGGTGCCTCACATCTACAATCCCAACACTTTGGGAGCCTGAGATGGGAGCCCAGGAGTTTGACACCAGCTGGGCAACATAGCGAGACCTCATCTCTCTATACAAAAGTTTTTTATAAAATTTTTTAATGATAAATTTCATTTGAGCAACTACATTGTGAAAAGACAAATGAAATTTTTTGCTTTGCCTATTTCAAACAGAATTGAAACTAAAAATTAAAACCTAGATATAAAATGTGACTGTCACAAACCCTTGGGCCTTGACTTGATGTGGCCAGATCAATGCAGGCTCCAGCATACACCCATATCTGTTAAGCAGATGTAGATATCATTCAGAACAAATCCTCCAACAGCAGAAGTAGTGCTGTGAGAGTCACTGCCCTTTAGAAGTCTCGTCATATTTCCAAAGACTGCAGAAACAAGTTTAACTCTGAATGACATCATCCCACAATCTACGGAGCCTCCCTCCTCTTCTACCTTGAGTCGAACCATCCTCTGCGCAAATCTACCCTTTCTTCTCTTCATGTGTATCTGGATTCCCCGCTCCCCTCAGGCAAGTGTCTCTTGCCACTTTGACTCAGTGTTCCTCTTCTCAGCTTCCTCCAACCAGTATTATTATTTTGTATATGTATTAAACTATGTTCCTCATGTTCTTCACTTTAAAAGCAAGTTGTATACTTTCTCTGTTTCTGTAAATTTCCAAACTAATTCATACGTTAGATGGAGCTTTTGGGGTAATAAACTGAGATTAGAACATAAATGGAATGCTTCAATTAAGTTTCTTAGGTAAACAGTTCATGACTTTGGTGGGTCAGTGGCCTTACATTTAAAAAGAGTTAACTGCCCCTTATCTAGGTCAGGGTATATTAATAACATAATAGTGCTCCAAAGACTTCTTAAATGACACTTAGTTCTTATAAAATTATTTAGTAAGTTAAATGAACCAGCATAGTACCTAAGACAGTGATATTACAACATTCATAAAATCAAATTCAAGAGAAATTAATTTTTAAGCCTATGTAATATATCAAAAACTGGGGCATGTCACTGGGAAAAGAACATCACCATTGTTACATACACACAGGTAACAAAAACCCCAAATAACTCAAACTTACCTTTGAAAAATATTTAAAGTGTATATTTGCAATTCGGTATGTATCCTGGAAATATTAGCAACTGGGTATGTATCCTGGAAATTCCAAGATCTCAAACAAAATAATATAACTACAATGTGAAGATCTGTCTTAGAAAGAGCTGGAAAGTTGTCTGACTCCTCTACCCAGATTCTTGACTTCAATGCAGAGACAAATACTTCTACTTCATAGTCCACTACCGAACACCAACAAAACCATTCCACACTTTTGGTTTGATGGTAGTGATACGATCCAAATTGCTCCAAAGCCCATGGAGTGGGTACTGAAGTTGTTTGACCTAAATTCTTGGTATTCATCATTAGGCTCAGAGCTTTACAGAAATGCAGAGTCTCAGAAAAATTTCCTCCCTATCACCAACAAGTATGGAAGGATTTGCTGAGGAGGTAATGCAATTCCAGTAAGGCATCATGGGCTCCCAGTCTAAGAGAACCTACCAGGATTCATTGATCTCTTGTCTTCTCTTTCAGGGAATTTCAATCCCCATGACAACAGTATTGTCCAGAGACAGACATCTCATCATGAAGGAGCAAACCAAGGCTCAAGAACCAAACTAAAGCCATCGGTCATGTAGAGCCAGACGTTACACTTAAACAACAAATATGCTTTCTCTGGAATTACAGGTGTGGGTCTTCACCTCACACAGTCTCTACATAATCACAAGAGGAAAATACCACTATTTCTCAGTCAGGCTGAGAACTGAGAATTCAAGGTGAACACCACTTGCTAATGGCTCTTTTTAGTGAAACCACTATTGAGAGCTGAGGGGAACACACACATTTGGCAAACAGATGGAGGGAGGGAACGGGCATCTCCCTTTGTGAATTCAATACCAGTTGATTCATTAGGCAGAACTGCCAACACAGAAAATAAATACAGCCTCTGGTTACAAAAGTATAACTGCCGCTTACCAAACAACAGAAATAAAAAACAGGAGATGCAGTTGGCTGCTGGTTTTTTTTTTTTTTTTTTTTTTTTTTAAAGTCAGGGGAGAGGGTTAAAGCAAAATCCACAATGAACCCAAAGGCTTAAAGTATTTGAACAGCTGCAGATAGCTCAGCTCCTCTTGCCAAAATGCCTGAAGTTCTCCCAGAGTAGGCAACCAAAACAGAATAAAAGTAGCATTTTACCCCAAAATAACAACAGCTTGGGTTCTAATTAATCTCAAATATGAACAGGGAGTGGGACTTCATATTGTGCAGCTTGATAAGCTCTAAAATAAAATTATGATTTTATTACTAAAAATCCTCTTTTTAAAAGGCAACAGCCATGGGAATCTATCCAAGAATAAAATTAAAAAAATAAAAAATAAAAACCCAACAAAGTAGCAATTAACAGTTAAGTACAAAATCACATGAAGCAAACAATAGTGAGAACATGTGACATGTAACTAGGCTGGCCAGCCATCCAGTTTTGCCTGTGGAAGGAAAAATTGTGAAGGTCTTTGCTGTGGGCAAAAAATCAGTGGGTATCCTGTAAAGCTTAAATTCTCTTTGAGCTATTTTAAGCTCTGCAAACTGAAGAAAACAGATAGTAATGCAAATGATTTCTGTCCATATAAATGCAAATTGTGCCCAGGGGAATGCAATTGATTACTGTCCTGTGGATATTGACCAGTTTGTCCAGAGGTAAACTCATTTTAGCATCCCTAATCTGACTATAAATAGGTGACACTTTGTATTCTCTTTGGAACCTATTATAACTTCTTACTGGTTCCCTGATTATGAGTTAAATGAAACATGCTCTTTTTGTATTCATAAAAGAGTCAAGATTTTTTTGCCTATTTTGAAAACTATACTTCAAGCAGCATAAATCCTGCTTTATACTAGATTGTATACAAGAATGGTACATCAGCATCCTAGTATAACTATTAAAAGTGTGCCCCCTTACTCTGAAGTGCCCCAGCTGGGATAACATATAATCTCTGCATTTTATGGACTTTATCAAAATATTAAGCCCATAAGGTTAAGAAGTAGTATATCCCTCCACCTATTATTATTCATAACAATGTGTACTGATAGGTCACAGAAAGTAAAACACAAATAATATAAGATTGTAGCACCAACAAATAAAACAAAAAAAGTTGTGCTGCAATACTGCCTAATATGTAACACAATGAACCAACAGCAAAGGACATGCACTTTTGATAGACTGGTAAAATATTGATTTCTGGGCAAAGGACTGCTCTGGGGAAGATACTTCTTAAACCCATTTGTCCTCATTAGAGTGGTCTGATATTTTTCCATGAAATCTTAAAGGATGATCAGAAGGCATCTTGCTTGTCCAAAAACTGACACTTACCAAATATACTTGTTACTAGCTATCCAATTTTATGCTTATAACTGGATTTTGTGAGGTTTGCTATATATCATTCCATTCCAATTATAATTATAAAGGCATATAACATAACAAAACCAAAGATGAGTTAAGTAAAAATACAAATGTGGGGACAAGAACTATGTATATTGCCCTGAGATAAGACAATCACAGAAAGAAAAGTATTTCTTCTTTGCTGTGCAAAGTAAAATATAACATACTAGGTCAGGATGTATTATATTAATCACCGTAATAACATGCTATTTGAGTGCTCAATTTGTACCAAGTAAACTTTTTTGGATAAACTTTTTCTATGTGTAAATTCAATTTGGATTACAATTCTGTGATTTGGGTGACAATACTGTCTCCATCTCACAGATGAAAAAAACTAGGGCAGAGAGTGCTTAGATAACTTGCCTGAGGTCCTATAGTAAGTAATAGAAACAGGATTTAAAGAGATAGTCTCATTTTAAGCCTAGACTCTTGATATGGAAGTATATTTGCATAATTAAGGTTTTAAAATATTTCTTGATGAATCTGTCCAAATTTGAGTCCATGGTCTATCATTAGAATCATTACAAATAACCTCATCTCCCTTGCTTCTCTCTCACCCCTTGCCAAGCCTGGATCAGCTCAATTACTTGCCTACTCTGGACCTGAGCAGCTGTAGATAAAAACAACTGGAGAAAATCACTCAACAGACAGACTTGTTTTACTTTAAATATGTGATTTCAAACCTCAAATGTCCAACTCCTAGCAACTGCACTACATTCCTTAATAAACTTGCCTTCCCAAACTCCAAAACAGAAATTCACTACTGCTCTCTCTCTCCCCAAACTGGTTTCTTTCTCTGCCTTAGTATCATTTCACTTTATCTCACGCTTCATTGAAAACCTAAATACCACTAGATGAGGACTCTTTTCTCTCTCCACCAACTCAGGAAACCTCCCTCCATCTGCCAGTTTGTCATCCTCTCCCCCCTTTAACTGAGAAATTGTCCCCCTTCTTACTAAAGGCCAATTCTTCCC